TATTAATGTTATGTGAAAATTTTTAACTTTTAATAAAAATTAATATAATTTCTTTAATTTAATCACTTTATCTCAAAAATTTATACTTTAATACCTTTAATTTAAAATTTTAAATGCTTAATCCCTTCACGAAGGCGGGTAAAAAAACCCAATTATAAATAGTCTTTTAACCAATTGTTTACTATTAACTATTTATTTTAAATAGTAAAAGGGCGACTAAGACAACAGAAGGAAGGCAGAGGGAGGACGCGGTTCCTCCTGTAACCAGAGATAAGAAGTAAGTTTGATGCCATTTCTTTTTCGTCAACCCCAGATCGACCCTGTGTTCTTCTTCAAAATTCATCCCAAAAGATTATAACTTGAAGCAGAATTCGAATTCGGGTATGTTTGTGTTTCTTCACTCTGAAAACCCTTTTTCTTTCTCTCTCTTGTTTTTTTTTCCGGACACTGCTTGTTTATGTTGTTTTTGCGTGTCAAACTAAGATTCTTAATTCTTAGAGTCGACAAATATCGGTCAAAATTAAGTTTTAGGCAAGGGCGATGCTTCTAGATCCTTCTGTGCTACTTTTTTTTTTAAAAAAAAATTTTTTTGAAAGTTAGGTGTGCTTGGTATAAATTTGATTTTGTGTTCATAAGCTGTTTTCTTTGAAAATCTGCTACCAATTTTAAAGCCCTTTTCTGGGATTTGTGGTCGCGATTCTAGAACTTGGAGATTCTGGGTGTATCTGGGATTTTGTTTGCTGGTGGATTCATACTATTTTCTAGCTGATCTTTCTGTGCTGGGTTTGGGTAAGGCTTGCGAGTTGCGATTCTATATTTCTGGGATTTCTTTCTAATCGTTGAATTTTGCAGACATAGACATGAATTTTTTACTTTGGTAAGTTTTATGAGGTTTCTACTTGAAATCTGACATGTAAAAATTTTGATTGGCTTTTTGTTATGAAATTTTACCGTATTCATTATTAACTTCTGCTAGTTCACCTTTTTTTTTTCTCTTCGGTTTTCTCAAAGGGGGATTTCTGATTTTCTTATATATCAATTGGGGAACGTCTACTTTTGCTTCTGGAACTCAAAAACAATCTTCCCAGAAGATCTGTGGGTTGTTAGCATTTGAGAATTTTGTGGATTTGTTCTATGTGGGGTCGTGAACTCTTTGTTGTTTGGAGGAGAATTTATAGTCCAGATCCACCAAATCTTATCAAATGAATCATCTTTTTTCGTTGATTGCCTTCTTTTACAGATGTTTGTGAATGGTTTGTTTTGACGATATTTCTGTTGTTGTGACAGAAGAGGTTGTGGTAAAGGAGAAAGACAATGGAGGAAGCAATTGCAGCAAGATACTGGTGTTATAGGTGCTCGCAAATGGTGAATCCCACTATGGAAGTTGAGATCAAATGCCCATTTTGTCAAAGTGGATTTGTTGAAGAACTGGGCAGTGGCACAAGAGACAGTCCTGACACTGATTCCGATATTGGTTCTGAACGAGCCTTCTCTCTGTGGGGACCCATCTTGCTTGGTATGATCGGTAATCGCCGCCGCAGAAGACTCAGACGCATTGAATTTGATAATGATGATGATGATGATGAGAATGAGAATGATGATGGTGAGGCTCGCCATGGGAGAGACACTCAATTGGACAGGGGATTGGAATCCATCTTAAGGAGGAGGAGAAGTTATACCACAATCCTGCAGGTGGTTCAAGGTATTCAGACTGGAATTGCATCTGAATCTGAGAATTCTGAGAATGATAGGGATAGGCATAGAGATAGGGAAAGAGAGCGTGTTATTTTGATCAATCCTCTCAATCAAACCATACTTGTTCAGGGTTCTTTTGGTTCCAGCGAAGGTGGTCAAAACCAGAGCACAAGCCCCATTGGATCCTTAAGTGATTATTTCATCGGTCCTAATCTGGATTTGCTGTTGCAGCATTTGGCAGAAAATGATCCAAACAGATATGGTACGCCACCAGCACAGAAGGAGGCAATAGAAGCATTGCCCAGTGTGAACATTGAGGAGAATATTCAGTGTTCAGTATGTTTGGATGATTTTGAGATTGGCACTGAAGCAAAGGAAATGCCATGTAAACATAAGTTTCACTGTGGCTGTATATTGCCATGGCTGGAGCTTCATAGTTCTTGTCCAGTTTGTAGGTATCAGTTGCCTGCTGATGAATCAAAACTTGACTCCGAAAGGCCTAGGAATAGCACCAACCAAAGAGAAAGTGAAAATAATGCCCATGTTAGTGGTGAGGAGAGTGAGGGGGATGGGAGAAGTAGGAGTGGGAGAAGGTTTTCGTTCCTATGGCCTTTCAATGGTTTTTTCTCCTCAAGTGGAAGCAACTCAACCTCAACTTCTTCAGGCTCGCCATCTGGAAGTCCTTCTCAAGCAAATGAGAACTGAATACATTTTCATAAGTTGTTGTATTAGTACCCTGCTATTTTTATTGCCTGATTGTTCTTTTCTGCTTCTTATGTATATAGTATCTTACTCAGCGTATCGAAGTCTTGGAAGAACACATTATCCTTATATATGTCTATGTTTTTTAATAATCATTTGTGGCCTTTGGAAGATTTTCTGCTGCTGATTTTTCACTGATTACCGGTATGTGTTTTGCCGTTAGTATTTCATTGGTCCAATCTCATTTTCTCATTCTCTGATTTGTGAGAGCCTGAATGCCTTTGTGAATGGCAGAAGGATACCATGCTTTTTTTTCGCCCTTTTTTTTTATTAAAGGATACCATACTTGTTTGAACGTTAAGAATGTTATAGATTATGGATGATAAAATCAAGCATGGGATCCTTTGTTTAAAAAATGTTGCTTTTGGGAACAACTGAACAGTTAGTATCTATGAGGCTGACTGGTGCTCGTCTGATTGATTAAGCTGTAGACTTTGGGGAAATTATTGTTATTATAAAACAAAGGTGTGGAATGATATGGCCGAGGGAAGTTCTCGCCTACTTCAATCGTGAGAGGATCCCATGTGATTTGTCTCCATTTTGATTCTTCATCTGCTGGCATTTCCAAGTTTTGTTTCGATGGATACGTTTGACCTGGAAAACTATATGGTCAATGTTTTTAAATTAATTATGTATTTCTCCGAAGTTGGATCGAAGACTTCTGCCGCTTTGACCTTTGAGTCTTGACTTGAGAGTCTCCTCTACAACTTTGCTGGGAAGCTACCTCTTGGAAAAAGATGCCACGACTAAGGGGCTTTTTGATAATTGGAAAATAATTTTGAAACGATCTTTTTATATCATCTTTTAGTATAATCAAACGTATTATTTAAGTGATTGATTCTTTTTATTTATATGAGACTCATGATACTAAATACATTGATTTATTTAATGATATGAAAAAATTATATAAAAAAATTATCTTTATAACACCACCCTTAATAATATTGATTTGAAATTAATAACTAACAATTTTATCTAATTTAATAGTTAATAATTATTATTATTAATAATTTAAACCCTTTTATTCTTAAATTAGATGAAATTACTAATTGTAATTTACAATCATTATACCAAATACTAAGAGCTTGTTTGTTTAAAAGAAATGGAGAACAGGGGAGGAACAAGCTCTAGGTTTCCAGGAAAGCTTCACTATATTAACTATGGTTCTTTTGCTCTTTCATGATGTGAAGCCTAAAACTTCCGAGGCATCTACCAATCAAAAAAATGAAGCATACAACTCCTGCCCAAATCGCTTTGGAGAAGCGAGAACACAACTAAAATTCACCAACAAAGTCTTGGTTACATAACATAATAATGTGTATCAAGAGTCACTGTTTAAACCCAAATTTAGTCTGTCATCAAAAACAAAATTATTGAAAAATCGAGTTTGTTGGACTCAAGAAAAAGTAGAACAAAACGTTGCTGATTCTCACAATCAGCATTGGCTCCAGCAAAAAAGTTCACTCTTCGTGACAATCTCAGTTCACGGTCAAGATCTTGATTACTGATGCAGTTCCAATACGGTGCAGAGCAACAACAGAATCTCCTTTCTTGCACATTCCCTTTGCCTTGGCATGCTGAATGGCAAAGTCCAATGCTTCTTCTGTAGTCTCTTCATGAGAAGCTCTGGCAGAACCTGCATATAACAGTGGGACCAAACCTCGAAAAATGAGGCTGTGCCTTGCAGGGGTTTCATCACTGCAAGACCAATCAAAAGAATCAGTCTTGATCTCGGGGACAACCACTGACAAAATAGGCTTGCCGGGCCTGTATTTAGCCACCAGTTTTGCGGTACTTCCTCCCCGGGTTAGGACCAATATAAGAGCTGCTCTTGCCGAGTTGGCTGTTCTAACAGCAGATGAAGCCAGGCTCTCCAATGGACTCATGGGCACTGGTGAGTGTTCCATGATCCTTTTGAAGACATCTCCATAATCAAGTGTGCTTTCGGCTTCCACACAGATTTTTGCCATGGTCTGGACTGCAAGCTCTGGATAAGCTCCAGCAGCAGTTTCACCACTTAGCATGACACAGTCTGTACCGTCAATAACAGCATTAGCAACATCAGTGGCTTCAGCCCTAGTTGGCCGAGGTGACTTAATCATGGACTCCAACATCTGTGTGGCTGTGACAACAGGTTTTCCCTGAATGTTGCACTTGTATATCATCACTTTCTGTGCTAGAAATATCTTTTCAATTGGAATCTCCATTCCAAGGTCACCTCTTGCCACCATAAATGCATCTGAATTCGCTAGGATGTCGTCAAAATTTGCCACTCCTTCCTGATTTTCAACCTAACATATTGTTCCAGTAAAAGGCAAATATCATAAGAATCATTGTTAGGGTCAGTAAAATATAGTAAGCTGCTCAGTACACAAGTAAATTTATTAGATATAATTCTTCTATTCTGATCCAGCATGCATTTTTATTCTCAAGCCAATCAATTGCCTTCTTTTCACATGGTAAAAACAGAGATAACTCACAACTTAGATTCTTCAGAATTTTTCATAGCAACCAAAACATACCTTTGACATGAGAAGAATGTTCTTAGCATGTGATCCAAGCAGCTTCCGGACCTCCACCAAGTCTGAGCCTTTTCGAACAAATGACAAGGCTATCATGTCAATTTGGTTGGGTATCCCCCACTTCAAGATATCTTCCTTGTCCTTATCTGTTAAGGTTGGAAGGGCCACAACAACCCCAGGAAGATTAACATTCTTCCTCTCACCAAGAACTGCAGAGTTCTCACAACGACAGTGAACCAAACCATTCTCTTTGTCACAAGATAGGACCTTAAATGAGATTGTGCCATCTGAACAAAGTATAACCATCCCTGGCTTGACATCCTCAGGCAACCTTTTATAGCTCATGCTTATCATTTTCTCATCGCCCTTTATGCTATAGTCGGTAGTTATGGTGATTTCTTGACCCAGTGTTAGTTGAACTTTCCCATCTTTTAAGAACCCAGTTCGAATCTCTGGGCCCTGCAAGATTTCATACAGGCAAAGACAATAGTTATGATTTGCCATAGCAGATTGACTTCAAAATCCTGTCTAGTTAATACTTATCATCATAAGGGAATGGGAAGGAAACATTTACACAGGTGGATGCTCTTTACAGGCTTTCTAAGGAAAAAGAAAAACAATTCTGCATAGGGGACAAGTGAAATGCTAAAAATGCCTGCAATCAAGAGATATCATTCAAGGAATAGAAAGTAGAAAGATGAAAATCAAGCTTCCTATACAACAATTATTAGACAAGTAAGATGCCTAACATGCTTAGTGGCAAATAATTCGACAGTTGAAGTTAGGTGCCATTAGTTACAAGGTGGTAGATTGAGAGGAACTTTTAATTTGAGTGCACTTTGAACACCAAAGGAGAAGAAACAGCTCACATCAGTTGCGCAAGAAGAATCTTCAATCCAACACATTGGGGGCTGATCTGGTTTTACTTCTTGTGAACTAATTTAAGGATTCAACATATGTACATGGAATGGTTACTGCCTAAGCAGGCAAGTGACAAACATTGGTGCAAGAACCATAAAAGTAACCCTCATCTTATCTTTTTTAAAACGAATGAATTGGCAACAAAAAAATAGTATCTCAACCATATGAAACCGCAGAAACACAAAAAGATGCAAATTCAGGGAGGCATTAATTTGGAAAGATACTCTTAGGAAAAAGGGAAAATACGCATACAGAAAATTGGCAAGTACACTATGGTACAATAAACAAGAATAGAAAGGACAAAACCCGCCAGACAGCAGCACCTAAACTTACAGAAAGGGACCATCACCACCCTCATAACCCATGTAAGGAAAAGGTAAAAACTTAAAACCAAACACATTCTGTACAGAGACAGAAATAAACAAACAAACAAGGACAACCTCCCAGAAATCTGGATCTCGGATTAAGAACAACACAAACGTGGATTCAAAACTAGAAATCGTGAGATGCATAAGGAGAAAATGGAAATTAAAATTGGACCAAGTACCCATATGTAACAAGAAGAGCAAGTCAAAGGAGAGAAATTAAACCCGGCTGTAGAACCACAAGAAAGAGGCAAAATGAACAGCATAAGAGAAGTCAAATGTACCTTTGTGTCAAGCATGACGGCACAGAGAATACCGGTGTTGAGCATGGCGGCCCTGAGATTGTCAATGGTTTCTTGGTGATATTCGTGAGATCCATGAGAGAAGTTGAATCGAGCGACGTTCATGCCGGCCCTCAGAAGCTTCTCGATTATGGACACTGACCTGGATGCAGGACCCAGAGTGCAGACAATCTTCGTCTTGGGTTTCTTCTCCACCTGCTCTGCTTCCCAATGACCATTCATTTCCATTGATGAATCAAGACCAAAACTTTATCAAACCCTCGGTGAATCCGCAGAAAAGAAGAAATACCCAGATAGGTTTCTTAAAGGATTTTGCTTATGGAGCACAGACAGAATGGAAAAACACTGCTGACGAACAACAGAAAAGTAGAGGTAGCGTCTGAGCTCCGATAATGTGCTTTATGGCATTAAGTAATTACGTGCATTAGCGGTGAGTAAAGGTCGTCTCTTTCTTGAGGAATAAGGCATAAATGGAATCATACGCATTTTTTTATGCTTGGAAAAGGGCCAACAGCCAATGGAAGATAAAGTCAGATGCCAAGATTATTAAGAACCGATTCTAGCAAACTAGTTCCCTGCTTTTGGGATTTGGGGAGACAAAACATTTGACTTTGACTGTGTTTATTTAGAAAAAAAAAAAGGAAATGAAAATAAAAACCTTAGTCATGTCCTGTATTATGTCCTGGCTTGTGACATTTATGAAAAGGAGGGCTTTATTATGATGGTCAATTTCAGAGCACGAGAATTTAACAACATTTTCACAATAACCCAACTGCCCTCTTGCCGTAAACAAGTGGGTGCAAACATGATAATGATTTCCCCCAACTTCTGGTTCTGTTCCCACAGGCTACAGATTCGCAAGCTTCAGTCTTTTCGCACTTATACAGACGTATGGGAGAGACGAGGGTATATAATTTTGATTGACCACACACAATAATGTAATAGTCATACGAAACTTTAAAACATTATTTTTGAAATTATTTTTGTTTCATTTATTTAATTAATAAAAATAATTAATATAACAATTAATATTTATTAATTAATAAATTAAAATTAATTTGCAAATTAATACTTTCTAACTCAAATTTGTGTACTTCCAATAATATTGTGTGTAGCAATAACCCACCACATCTTATTTCTTTGAAGCAACAGAACTCAGTTATGGTCCTAATAGGTTTTCTTTGTTTTGCAATAATAAAGATTAGCCTGATTGGCACTACTAATAAAAAATATTTAATTTGAGGTTAGAAGTTGAAAGTTCACACCATGGGATAACACCAAATATAAAAGAGAAAAAAAAAAAAAACCAGTGGTATTTTTTTTTATCAATATTCTCCTCACTTTCTAGGTTTTGAAGAACCAAACCCAGATTCATCAAAGGATCTATAGAACATTGTTTGTGGAAAAACAATATGATGTCTATGTAGTATAAGACTACTAACAATCATTATTATAAGCAAAATTTTAAGGAATTGGACATGGCAGATTGGCTTAGATGTCAGTTTAGGTCAGCCTGGGTGATTATGAATGCACCTCAATCTATCCAGAAAGCATACTCCAAAATAGAAAATTTTCACGAGACCACTTCAAATTTGCTTGAATTTCTTCAAACTACCTGGCTAAGAAGGCTGCATTCTGCATATCATCATCTTTAAGCTTGAATTGGTGTTTCTTCTTAAGGACTGATAAGACATATATATGTGGTCAAATGACATCTTTAGGCATCTGGCATTCAAAACACTTCAGAGTTCATCATGCTTCTGGTGCTGTTTGTTCATCATGTCTAGTTTATCTTGTAGCTCCTATCACGTTTCAGAATTTACTTGAGGTTAGAGCATTAAAGCAGGAAAAGAGGAGGATTGCATGGCTAAATTTGCTTACCCAACTGCATAATTACCTTCAGTTTATCTTCCGTGCATAGGGCTGGGGTAGATAAAAGAGCTACATACTCGCAACGACTTGGTTCGTCAACATCGGCAATCTCATTTTTCAACCCACATCTTAATTTGATCTAAAAAACAAAAAAAAAATATATAATTGAATTGCAGACACTTGAAGGCCACTAGAAGTTTCTTGAATCTCATTCAGATGACAATTTTTTATCTTCATCTACATAATATTTTGTTGTGTAGTATGTTAAATTGCCTAAATAAAGCAATCCAGTTAAAAAATATCCTAAATATTCAAGCAAATACTTATGGATAGAGCAACATGATTGTCAACCAGTACCTTCAAACTTCTATCTGGCCCATTCCAACACCTATCTCCATTTGAAAACATCATCACTCGGTATGAGTCCTCAAATTTCTCCCAGTACCTACCAGCAACAAGAGAAATATAAATACAGGGAGAAGAAAATGCTTAAGAAGCTAATATCAGTTTGAGACTTATCATTTTATAATGTTCTAGGAGATGTGTCATCCAAAAAGAAGTTATATTACGACACCCCACCTCCCCCCCCAACATTGCATTTTAATTTCTATTCATTTCAAGCAACCTACCCCAAACGAGTTGTGGCATGCCCCTCCACCTGGGAAGCTTGTTTATATGGGCAGACTTTGTAAACATACCTGAAGCAAAAGTTTTTCTGTGAAAAATAAGATATTGGAAGTGATCAAGATAGCATAATTATTTACACTCTAAATATAGTCTAGAGTTCACTACAAAATAACCAATGCTCGTAACTTATTCTGCTTGCTTTCAAAACAATGATCATAGAACGAGTAGAACTCTTTCTCTGGCCCTGCAATATTAAATTAAACCTAAGTGAGTTATGACAACCAGACCAATAAAGTAAAAAGCTGCAGCTTAGATATCGGTATGGTTCACAACATACCAAAATCTTGCTTTAGCTTTTTTGTCAAAGTTGATATCCTTGACTGTATTTTAGATAACTTGGTACTGGATTCATCATATTCTTTGTGTACATCAGCAGCATCTGAGGACGTCAAAGATAAGAGATGAGCCAATCACTTATATTGCTGAGTATCAAAAAAATCAAGCTTCAGCACAGACCTGATATGTTTACTGGTGTTCGGAACAAATTAACAGCCTGCAGAATATTTCGTACAGTTTGTTGTATCTTCCCCAACCAAGTTGGGTTACTCAGAGTGGTTATGGATGTATCTAATAACAAGGCAAATCATAAAGTCAGACATAGGGTATTCCAATACCATAAAAGAAAAAAATTATCAGGTGAACTCATAAGGTATTTTCAGAAAACCAGAAAGGTAGCACAGAAATAAACCGCAAACCTGACAAGTCTATGTCATCAACGGATTTGTATGAAGAGCTAGGATCATCATGATTGTCCTCTTCATCAGTATCGTCTTCAGTATCATCATATTTTCCTGTGTCATCATATTTACTAGTGTCATCTCCAGTATCTGGAGCATAGCCATCATATTCCCCATCATGTATCTGCTTTAGCGTATCTTCATGACATTCATGAGAATTATCTTTTACATCATCACGTTTTTCAGTATTTTCTCCAGTCCAACGAGAAGCAACAAGGCGACCTAATTCTTCCCCTGACAATTCCTCAGTATTTTCAGACAGATCATTGCCCTGTAAATACGGCACGGCAGTCGCCAAGACAGAGAATACCAGAAATGAAGTACACAGTCAGGTGCTTTACCAAGTCTTAAGGGTGTGATTCTCTAGCAGGCGCACTTAATAGCTGATTTCTTTAATGACTTAATCAGGTAGGATAAAAAAGCTTGAGATAAATGAAGATAAATCAAACAACCAAAATTACCATTTTCTTGACATCATCAGGCACTACTCCACTTCTAGCATCACTACCAGTCTCAGGCACAACTGCAGAATCATCCTTGTGGCCTGCTGAGGCAGACTCTTCCATATTCTCCAGAGCATGCTGCAATAAAAGTACGGATTTCTCAGGATACAAGAACAAACTATGTGATGTGACAGCAAAGCTTCAAATATCCATTAGAAAAGAAAAGGATAACTTCAGCATATTATGTCTACCCACTCAACTCTATTTCGTGGAGATCCTTCAATTTCAGAAGTATCACGATTTTCAACTTTAGCTGCCACATTATCCTCACTGACTAATTTGAGATCCTATCACAAGTGTGTTGATGTCAGAACTAAACATAAGTAAAAACTATTTGCAATATCAAGAGAAACTTTATAAGCTCAACGAATGCACAAAATAGATAACATACTTACAAGATAGAAAAAACAAAGGAATACAATTGGTTACATTTCATATACATGCCTAAAAAATTATGGGAAATTGGTAAATAGAGAATGCATTTGAGTATTTAACCAAGTAATCCCAAGCAGATCCTGGCAAAAATGGTTAATTAGCAACATTGATAGAAAAGAAGAAAGAGAAACCCCAAAACTACTACTTTCTGGTTTTGTAATTCTATCACTTAAAAGCCATAGGACAAGGACAGACTCAAAGTACTATAATAATGCAAAATTAAACAGCAAACTGGCCATGGACATTCCTATGTAGAAAGGATAACATCCCCAAAAGGATATTGATTACAATTTGAGCCAATATTTAATGAAAAAAATGGGAAAAAAATATTAAATAACAGACTGACCTCATCTGATGGATCATTATCCACAGTGCCAATTAAGTTATCAAGTGTACTTTCTGTGGATTTGACTCCACTGTCCACTTTTTGCTCAGCTACGCCTGTTTCAACCTTGGCTTCCTCGGGTTCACTTTCTTTCCTCAGTGCTTCCTCAGCTTGTTTTTTTTCCTTCTCTTTCTGTAACCTTTCTTTCTCCTGTGCCTTCTCTATTAGTTCTTTATGCTCTACATGGTAGAAAAATTTATGCTACAGCACAGTGACTGAGTATTCCTTTTAGACAGATCACTTAATAACATGAGAACCAACTATATCAAGATCAAGAATAGCAAACAAATGCTTTGGAAATATTTAGAACAAGGCAGATTACTAAACATACCTTTAAGTTGTTGAATGAGCCCATTCAATATCTTCTCCTCATTTTTTAGTTTTTTTAGCTCTGCCTCATCTTTTGCCATAGCCATTCTTGTCTGCTCTATTCCCTGCTTTCGCAATGTAACCCCCTCCTGATATGTAGCAATCTTTTTCTTCAACTTATCCCTAGCTGCTTTTCCAGCCTCCCAGCAGGTATTGAGACACTTCACTTCTCCATCATACTCATCACTCCCATCACAACAGTCTGGACATCATGACCAATGAGAACAGCATAGAAGGTGACAAAAGAATATGAAGGTTCTATGGCCACAACAAGTTATTCTTGTTGGGATTACCCAGTTTCCCAAGTTTGATGTTTATTAGTATCATCAGTTTTATACCTTAATTTAGCATCATATTTATCTTTAAGTTTTCAAGACAAAAGTAAATTTACAAGAGCATAAAACCAGGTAAATTAGAGAGCTGCTTAAGAGTGCAATGACAGTTATCAAAACCTTCAGTAACATTTGCCAAAGATTCAGTAAAGGCAATTGAATGCATGTTCTTTGCATGTCAGTACAAAGGATAAAATTAATAACTCCAATGTTTAACTTATTGATAAGAATATGATCCCCTTGAGCAAAAGAATTCCACCATTGCATAATTTTCTGATCAATAAGTTACAATTCAAGCATTCTAATCGTTAAATGCATGCATCATCTCAATCAACATATTTGATTTATCAATCTAGTAGATGTAAAACAACAAATAGAGTATGGACAGAGAGTAAAAATTTTAACTTTAAGAAACTCACCGCAAATACCATCATTCACTCTAGAAGAAAATAAAGTTTGGGGGAAGTGTCCAATGTTCCGACAATAAAATTTTCCAGTTGGGCATGCAGATGTACCTACACACAAAATTTACCCTTGTAATCAAGCAAAGTTAAGAAGTTATTAGGTGCAACCAAAATGCAAAGAAGAGTGTTCTATATTCAAAAGAATTATCACTCATCCTAAAGTTAGACTCCCAGCACTACAAAAGTCATATGTATCACATAATGTCAATTGTCCTTGCCACAACTAGAAAGGAAATAAACAGGGAATTGGAGTGGAAAAAGTATAAATGAACTAAAGATAACCTTTTAGTTAAAAACAAATCAAAGTAAAAAAATTGATAAGAAAGACTGCAGAATGCATATGAATTATGAACAAGGAGACCTGGCTCATCAGTGCCATCAAGACAATCACAGAAATCATCATTGAGCTGGGATTTGTTGAACTTCTTCGATCCATCTTTGCAGTTTATAGTATCCAATGACGTCTTGTAGAAGCTCTCATCTTAATCACCAAACAAAACCCCCCAAAAAATATCAGTACATGCACATGATCCAATAATCCATAAACAAAACATACACAGAAGAAGAACCCAAGATGATAAAGATGAGCTAAACCTTCAGGAGAAATTCCAAGAAACGGGTCTTGGGGGACAGAAGAAGCTGATCTACCAAACGAAGCCACGCACAATGCAACACAGAAAATCAACAGAAAATCTACTCTCATCTTCTGCAGAGAAACTCTGCACGTTCCTTATCTAGCTCTCTCCGACCCCGGCGACCCGAAATTCCACCGGAAAGAGAGAATTCACTGAATCACTGAAACAAGCCAGTGAGAAATGAGAGAGACGGCGGCATTGCAGACGCCTGAGAGAGAAAACGACGCTGCTTACCCGCGCCGCGGAAAAAGAAGTGCCTTTGAAGTAAACGGTGTCGTTTTACCCCTGGCTGATACAATTTTAAAAGAAAAAAAAAAAATTCTCAGAGGTATTGTTATCTTCAAGCTCTGTCGCAGCAACCCCTGCAAGGGAAATGGAGGGAAGCTCAGTATTAAGTTGCTATTCTGCAAAAACCCATTTTAAATTGCATCATTTTCATCATATATCTTCGTTTTCTTCGTCTTCTTCTTCGTGGCGGAGGTGCTTTTTTCCTGGGTTGCGGGTCAGTTACCGGGTGATGCCAATTCGAAGCTCTGTCCGGGCTTTCACTGTGGAAGAAGCGCCGGATAAGTCAAGAAAATCGGTGATGGGTACGAAAGAAATGCTCCCGAAGATTGATAAAAGTGGTCGCTTTTGCAGCCCAAGAGCCGCCCGGGAACTCGCTTTGTATGTCTTCTCTTTTCGCTTTCATGACTATAACCTTTCTCTTTTTCGAACTTGGTTAGGAAGTTGATGCAATATCTCTTAACACTGAAAATCTCAAAAGGGATTTTTTTTAATTTGCTTCAAGTTCTGCACTTGGTTTCCCGTTGTTCTTGTACTCGAAATTTTCAGTGGTTAGTTAATAGTTAATACCGTATTAGGCATTCTTGTAGTTGTCTCACATATCTCTCTTTTGGGTTGACAGATTGATAGTTTATGCGGCATGTTTAGAAGGGTCTGATCCGATTAGACTGTTTGAGAGACGAATGAATGCCAGAAGAGGTAATGCTCCAATGCTGCTTATTCTGTCCTGACTTAGTGATAGCTTGATACATCTTTCTAGCTATATTGGCTTTCTGATTGACTTGTTTCTAACTTATATATATATATATATATGTTCAGAACCTGGTTATGAATTTGACAAGGAATCGCTGTTGCAATACAATCACATGAGCTTTGGAGGTCCTCCTGTCACAACTGAAACAATTGAAGAAGCAGATGAGCTTCTGAGCAATGATGAAAAGGAGTCTGAAATTGGTAATTAAGCCTCTCAGAAAAGCTCCATGTCTATATGATGTATAGTTAGATGGTAGTGTTTTTCCTTCATTTGCTTATTCAGAACTTATAATGCTGGAGAGATTTCAGAAAGATTTGGGAGGAGTAAATAAGTGAAGTTTTTTAATTACTTGGATAAAATGTGTCTATCTTTGCAATAATCATTCAGTTAAACAAGCATATCTCTTTCATTATGGTTGTAACTACGATTGTAGTTACCAGTAATGTGGCTTAGGAATTAGGATAACCAACGTAGTTGAAGTTCTATTCTGTGGTAAAAACTGGTAATTTGAAAGCTACTTTCTCATGCATGTAACATACCATAGACCACCACATGACCCACTTGGGTATGGGTGGTTCATACAAACTATGGGTGTTTGAGTTTTCCACAGAAATCATCACTTTTTATCATACATTGCCCTCTTGTCTCATCACCATTGAAATCTAAAGTCTTATGCTGATTTAGTGGAACTTACCCTGCTAGATGTTTTTCATGGAGAAATTTATGTGTATTAGCTGATCAATATGAAAACTCTTGAACTTGACCTAGACAATAATCTATGCTGTAGAACATGAGGCAAATGGGCCTTCCTTTGTAGTCTATATATGTTTGAAAAGTTCTGTTCAGAATAAGTTCCTATTTTTTTCTATTGAGCTCAACTTTTCCATTTTTGTTTCAAATCTACTATATAAGTGCTAAATCCATTTTGTATTTCATTATTCCAGAGGCAGAAGTTCTTTCAGCTCCACCTAAGTTGGTGTATAGCAAACTTCTATTGCGGTATTTCATCCTAGCTATATAATTTGTCATTTTGTAACTAGAATTCTTGGTTATAAAGTCTACACACGCACACTGTGAATGTTTCCTATTCCGCTCTTGTGCTTTATTGCAGTTTCTCTAGGAAACTTTTGGTTGCAGTGGTGGATAAGTGGGATAGTCATGTCCTTGTTATTGACAAAGTTGTCCCTCCAAATTGGAAGGTCTGATTTATTGGTTTCTGAATCTAAAATACTGTTTTCATTTTTGAGATCACTACCAATTCTTTAATCTTTCATATTGATTTTTTTGTTAATATTCACCTTGAATGCCCTTCTCCTTTTGGTTATTTCTGGATTTTCTATACACCTTGTTGTATTTGTATGATTATATCATCAGCATTGACATAAATTTCACTCCTTTACTATATATTCGTCGCAGAATGAACCAGCTGGCAGAATATTGGAGCTTTGTATCCTCCACCTAGCCATGTCTGAGATATCAGTTCTTGGAACTCGGCACCAGATTGTCATTAACGAGGTATTCCTCCCACCCTTCATCATCATAAATTCATAATCTCGTTATCTAACGACTATGATCTTCCCTTCAGCACCATTAGCATCCCATGCTGGAATTCTGAATTCAGCATCATCTTTCATTGTAGGCTGTTGATCTTGCAAAGCGATTCTGTGATGGAGCAGCACCGCGTATAATCAATGGGTGTTTGAGGACATTCGTGAAGAATCATGCAGGGAATCCCTCAGAGTCTAAACAGGATCAGGGCATACCAGTCCAAGTATGAGTTCAAATCATCAAATGTCTCAAATCTCACTTCAGATTTGGTTATTACAAATTCCAATCATACAAAGGTGACTTGAAAACTCTCTTTATTGTACTAGTAGTCTATTACACAGCAGAATTTTGTATATGATAATGTTGCAGTAATATTCTTGGATAATTTTAAAAAAAATGAAAAAAGATTTTTTCTAAAGACATAGGTTAAGGGTGTGTTAAATATACTTTTTCATTATAAATATACACATAAAAATATATAAATTAATATTAATTTTAGTATTCGGTAAATTTAATTAGATAATTGATAAATTAAAAGTTAATTTTTATTATTTCAATATAAATTTATGATGAAAAAACATATTTAATACACTCTCAACTTGTGTGTTTAAGTCATAAGTTAGATAAATTCTTTTGGACGTCCAGTCCCATTTATAAAATATGAATCTCTTAAAAACATGGTTAATATTTATGTCTAACAACATGAATTTAAATTGATTTTAACTTAAAAAAAAAAAGAACAGAAATAAATTTAAATGATTAAAAATAGAGACTAAATAATAAATAAGAATAATATTTATCCATTTTACTTCTTAAAAATTAAGAAAAAAATTATTTTAAAATTAGGTTGTTTGAAAAAAATTTCATTGAAAAAGATTAAAATATATTATTTTTAAAACATGAATTAAAATGTTTTTTGTCTTTCCTCGTAGTACTTTATTAAAATTATGTAATTTTAAAATAATTTTTCTCTTAATATTTAAAATATAAGATAGATAAACATTAATTTCATAATAAATTTACCTTAAAAAAAATTTATAAGTGCCATGGACCATAAATAAAATAGCCATTTTAATTCATGATGTACGAGGCCCTTAGGTTGGGTTGTCACAAAAAGCCGAACGGGACCGAACACTTGAAATTTGGGCTGTACAGTTAATTGGGCTCTCCAAGGCCCAGACATATCACTCAATTCCAGCTGCTTTGCGCCGCTGCGGCCATGAACTCGTTAGCGATTTAGGGTTTCTCTCTCACCTTCGAGTGTCTCTCTCTATAAATATCAAATCAAAGCTCGTGCCTTTGAGCCCTTGCACGGAAGCCATCTTCAAATTTGCAGGTGGGTATGAATCTTTGATGAATTTGGAAAAGGGTAGGGAAGGAAGGCCTAATATTGCAATTCTTTGATCTGGGAGCAAAGGAGTGGATCAAAGGATCTATCATTAGGCTAAAACGAGGGTTTCTGTGTGCACAGCATACTATTCCTCTGTGCATACTCTCCCTTTAGCTCCGATTATCCTCTTTCTTCATAGGATTTTTCGGTGACAAGGTAGATACACCCGTCATTCTTCTTCTTCTTCTTTTCCATTATTTCAAGCTTTTAAAAAAAAAATAAAATAAAATTTAAAGGTATGATTTTTTTTTTGGATGTGGGCATGATGGAGAATGATGAAATAAATCAGACGGATTCCCATTGATTGTTTTAGCAAACAACATGAGATTATAACCAGCTACTTCTGACTCTCATCATGCCTTTTATTTTCCTTTTCATTTTTTTGATTTTTTTGATTTTTTTGATTTTTTATTTATTTTATTTTTTTGGGCCGGTGATGTGATACAAATATTTGCTACTCTTGATGGGGTTTTCTCTAACCTCCATCTGATGATTCTTATCCACCAAGATCTCTGAGGCCTTCTTTTGTATTAATTTGCGTTTTCTATGTTAATGGTTTTTTATTCCATTTAAAAATGAAAACGGAATGACCTTGATTTGTTCTCATATTAATATATTATTTCCTTGATGGCTGTTTTTACAAGTACAACTTCATAAAACTGTTTCATTCACGGTTGCTTTGATTGTATCCAAAATCTGCATGCAGGCAGGCAAAGGGAAAAGATATGGAACTCTCTAGAGCCTGTCTTTAAATGAAAGATTCTAAACTTAATCTGAGGATTGAATAAGTTCAGCTTGTTCTTAGTTGGCATGTAGAAGGGTTCAAAAACAAGAGGGAGTGGTGTGTCAAGGCCACAAACTCTGGCTATGGGAGCTTCCAAATGCAAACCAAGTGTACATGTTGAGCATAGTGGTGGTGGGTTGGGATGGGTGTTCCATCTCAAAATTGCAGTATCAAACTCAAAAAAGTGAATGGTTTATAATTTTAGAAATTCATGATGACCATATTTGTGTGTAATGTTAGATATATTGCATGCCTCCATATGCAGGCCATTACTGAGTTCAATTATCCTTCAAATGAAATGGGAAGTATATAACTGCAAATGATAATTAATTAGTTTGTACGTGCATTTTATATTTTATCACTTTGGAACATTTTCCTTGCAAAATGAAAATCGATCAATTGAAACATGAACCACCCCCTTTAGAAACCAACGCAAAGACAACGTCCGTCATACATAACCAGCTAATCTTCATAATAAAATAAAATTAATCAAACCCAAATTCACGAACAGCATTGAAAATCAAAAATTGAAGCAACAAAGAAGATATAGAAAAGGCAAAAAACCGAAATGGATATTCAAAAAACACGAACCGAGGGTCAGTTTCCAAGGCAATATGAAGGGCATGGTTGATTGCAGCGTAAAGGTTCACCAATCTGCCACTCTGTTCATTTTGAAGAGCCGAAGCCGAAAACTGTTGCATCCTGATTTTTTTTCACAAGTAGTCATTTAAATGTCAAAAAGTTCTAATTTTTTTTCTTTTTAAATTTATTTGTATAAAATATCTTAATTCAATTTTATGTCAAAAAAATTTACTTCAGGAAAAGTTTGTGTATAACAGTAGTCTTATATAAAAAAAAACCTAATAAGGTGGTAGGCTAAAAACTTAAGTTTTAAATTAAAAATTTCATGTTTGAATTTTAAATTTGATAGAAAAGAATTTGAGAATCAATGATGACTGTTTTCTCTTAATTAGATATAAAAAAAATAATCTTATATATATATATATGAAAAAATATGTGTCAGTAGTATGAACAAAAATATTTGATATGCCATTTAAAACATTTCTTAGTGGAAAAGGAAGGGCAAGGGCAAGCTTCATCTCGCTAAAATGGACAAGAAATCAGAGTTAACTCCAAAAGGGAAAATGTTTGAGCAAACTAAATTCAGAGCAACAAGAATCTGGAATTTTAAAGGACAAATCTTCAGAAGATGGAATTCGAATTTTTCATTTTGCAGACATTACATTGTATTAATAAAATATCAAAATAACAAAGCGACAATCAAAACCGAAATCTGCAAAAGTTGCTCGCACCGAAGTGTCCGATTATAAGATCCTTTTTAGCTGAAAATTCACAACCATATGATAGCGGAGAAAAAAGGGGCAAGAAAAAAAAATTCTGAGTTGGTTATGGAAAAACCCTAAAAAAAATACCCCCAAAAAAAGGAATAAAAAAAAAAAAAAAAAACCATAATCCCTAAACCCCAACTCCTATGGAATGGAAACCTGTCAGGAGCTACTCACTATAAGGACAAAACCCCCCAGTATTATCTTCACTGCCTCCTAGGTTCTTATAGATGCTACGCTGCCTTACCACCAATCTGAAAATCTTGAGAACCATTGATCTTATTGCAGCAGCAAGACAGATCAGTTGGCGGCTTGTGTTTCTGTATTCTATATTCTAAACACGGCAAAATTTCCAATAAAACTTATTGCTATATTATACAAGACCACAAGCCACCATGATGAAAGAAGTTAGCAACCATTAGCAACCCCATTTGCTAAAACCCTTTTCTCAGAAACCATTGCTGCTGGCTTAGCAACCTTATGGTCATCCGTGGTTTTTGCCACTGATATGTTTTCAGAAAGCTTTAGGTCCCCATTAGACTGAATAATTGAAGTAGGTTCCTTCACCAAATCAGATGCAACCTCGGATGATTGTTGTGACACATTAGCCAGTACTTTCTTCTCATCAACAGGTTTTCCTTCCCACACCTGCATAATAATCCATTTCAAATTATTATGGTAGTACACAAATTTATAATTGACGAAGCTGAAGGAACTTGTTCACAAACTGGAGATTAAAAAACCCTATCTGGATCTGAACTTATGTTCAGAAGCAGGCATCACATGCAAGCTTTGCCCAATGTTAACAAACAAGTATAAACTGTCTTGCCTGTTTTTGGATCTGCTGTTGCTGATGCTTGGCCTTTTTCTCCTGAATTGCCTTCTGCCGAACCTCATAAAATTCAAAATCCTCCAGAATGCATGTTTTGCTAGAATGCTCCTTGAAAATTTTTATCATTTTAAGGCCATGCTCTAGCTTGACCTAAATGGAAGCCATAAAAGTCAACAATTAGAATGGAACAACAAAAGAACATCATCGGGAAAGCAAAAGGAATTACAATTACCTCCTGTGTGTCCCTGCTGTTTGTAACGGGTTTATTCTCATTATTCTCAAGGGTAATGTGCTTCAAAGAATTGTTGGGAACATCCTTCACTATATGCCATCTCACAGGGAAGCAACCAGTCCACTTATCTTGTTGCCAGTACTCAACATTCTTCTGAAAATCAACTGGCCCTACCATCTCAGCAAGGCCAACAAATTGGCCACTGGTATTAACCTACAAAAGTTGAATGCAAAAGAAAACCATTAAGTACAAAACAAGGAATGGTGGAGGAATGAGACTAAATAAATAATTGCATCAGGATGTTCTCACTGAGAAGAAAAGAAAAACAGGGCAGGCCCCAGATTTCTGCTGAGCCTCCTGGTAAGCTGCATCAAGCTTCTTGTTGCCACCTGGTGTGCTAGCCCAGACATTATACTTAATGCTCTTATGAACATCGTCTTCACTGTAGGACTTAATAACAAAGAATTTAGCATCAGTATGGTATAAAGGAAAATCTTCTTTGTTGTACTGTTCCCAATGAGGGACCACATATGCCTCTTCCTTCTCCTCGCCATTAGTTCCTTCTGTTGTCCCATTCACACCCTTGACTGCTGACACATCAGGGGAAGCACCTTTTTGATTCTTGGGACCCTTTGCACGAGGCCCTCTATTCAGCTCATTCAGACCATCCATATTATCATTACCAGACACAAAGTAACCATTGCCCCGTCCCCTGGGTTTATACTTGCTGTCAACAGCTAACCAACGTCCATTTGTTTGCAAGTCATAACCACTAGAACCGAAACCCATTCCAGGTCTGAACGAGTTTCCGTACTGGCCATATAGCTTGTTTGCATGCACTCTATTTAAAAACCCATGAGCTGAACCCATGCCAGCCATTGGGGAAGGGTTGTATCCCTGTGAAAATCAAAAGACGAAATCATCAGAGATATACAACTTAATAATGAATAACCAGAACTAAATCAAAATAATATTCCAATAGTTAAAAAGACCAGGGCTATTAGTTCGATTAATAAGTTGAAGATGTTTCAAGTTGATAATCAACTTATTTCAATCAGTTATCTGAGGAAGAAAAGATGCATGAACAAAAGGGAAATGTTGATCTTTTGTACCATGTAATGAGAATTTGAACGGTAATTCGGATTCCATGAAGATGGAACATTGTTTGCCTTTGAAAATGAAGAATTCATTGCACTACTGGTCACAGGCCTGTGCTGCCCATCTGAAAACATAGCCCCTTCCACCCAAGGGATAGGAGACCTAAACACATCAAAACCATACCTTGGATCCTGATATCCAGAGGTAGGAAGAGAACCTGGCAAAGCACTCCTTCCATATGAATTATTCGAATTAAACGAATTTTGGTACACTGGTTGTTTCAGTGGAGCTGAACCATTAGTTCCTTTCACACCGCCACCATTTGCAACAGCATTAGAATTTGCACTCGCTGTTTCCACAGGTAATGGCTTATGATCAGCAGCTGCAGAAGCGGAGAGTTCGCCTTGGGATTGAGCAGCTGCAGTTGGAGTGAACAATCCATTGTTGTTAGTCAGAGGCTGAAAATACTGGGGATACTGGTAGTGCTGTGGCCCATATAATTGACCATCGTTTCCCACAGTAGGCACTGGAGAACCTACAGGTGAATATGGTGGATATGGCGCATATCCATAACCATGGTGATACAGAAGAGACCCATTGTCCCCATAGACTCCCTGAAGAAAGATGATATAATTTAATTAACACTAAATGGTGGTTTGGGGAACATATAAACATAACATACGAAAACCACAAAAGGTAAAAACAAAAGACTTACTGAAGTCATGTCAACTGCATCTGTATTCACGTATCTTGTATAATCATCCCAATCATTTGATCCTGAAAGAAATTACAGTCAGACAAGCCAGTTCATCCATAACAAACAACTTAAATACACACACAAACAAAGAAATGAAAATATGAATCATGGGAGTTTCAAGATATGAGAATACTATGATTACCTCCATAGTAAAAGGCAGATGGATAACCGTTGGGCAGATAGCACATGGCTGGATCCACAAAATCCTGAAACAATGGTGTTGCAGATCGCTCAAATGAAGGAATTTGGCCATTTGCAGGATTGCCTAGATCAACAGACCCATACTGATAAACGGAAGACTGCATTGAAGTAAATATGAACCAAACATCAAAATGGCCATCCTAACTTTATCTGTTTCAAAAGCTTGAATTCTATTAACGAGGCTCTAACTCGAATATAAGGCATCCAAACCCACAATAAAAATCGAATTGTTCGTAGCAACCACATTACAGGGAAGGAATTGGGGATTACCTTCTTGGTTGGCTCAGGCATTTCCAAGGGCTTTGCTTGAGCATCTAAGGACAACTTCTGAAGCAACTCAACAGTTTCTAAGGGAAGCAGGAGTAAAGGAAATCCATGTTATCATGGATTGGCTATTGATACTAAAAACATCACACCATATTTCTCAGAGTCAATTAAACAAAACATCAAATACAATTCAAATCACAAAAAACAGAGCAGAATAACAAATTCAATTCAAACAGACACATCCGTAACCACAGATATGAAGCAGCTAAATCTTAACAGAGCAAAACCCGAAACCCCACGCACAGAATTCTAAATCCCCAGATATTACAGACAAAGCCAGAAGAACCCAGAAAGGTCCACAACAAAAAGAGAGCTAAACAATAACAGATCTCTCGTAAAACACCGAATCAAAGCAAAACCCAGATGACAGAATCGAGTAAGGATACCATCAGCAGGAGCAGAAGGAGTAGGAGCAACCGCAGCAGACATGTCCATATCGACGTTCAACACCTGAAAATCCCAAAAATATAAACCCTAACAGAGGAAGAAGAAACAAGGTATACTCTCCTCAAACAAAGCAGCCGCCGAAAGAGGTTTGGGTTTAGGGAACGTGAGAAAAGGGTTTTTGTCTAACCGAAGGCGGTGATTCAAATACCACCACAGAGCTTATTTGTCTTTTTTTGTTACTTCGTCACCTGCGGGTCACCTAAAGAGCCAGTTACTTCTTTTTGATTGGCTTTGACATCAACGTGGCTGCATTTAATTGGGAACTCGTGTTGGGGAAAATCTTTTGACTTGAGCTGGCAGTTGCTGATTGGTTGGTGATATGGCTTCTAAGTGACCAGCGGTAACTTTTGTTTGGTTTGCGAGAATCTCTGGAAACCCTAATTACGAAAATGACAAGCATGTCCTTAATCCCTTATACAATGTCCAGAATGTTTGGGCTTCAGTTTGGGTTTGGAGGGCCTTCGGAAAGCGGGCTCGCTGGGCCACATAGGTTTTTTAGATATTTTGATATTATTTTCCATGGTTAATATTTGAAATAGATATCTTGGTTTTTTGTTTTTTTAAGTGTAATGGAATTTTAACCATATCAAACTACATCATTTTAAATATAGGATAAAGGTAAGTCTGCCTTCTCTTATATAATGATTTTTATTTTATAATTCAGTATAATTTAAATTATAAAACATGATTTTTTTTTTTGAAATTGCATTTTATGGTTAAAAAATCATTTTTCTTTTTCAGTTTCACTTTTATTTTCTTAAATGATTTATTTTTTCAGTTGCAAACATGTAATTTACATGAAAAATACAAGAAATAAAAAGCACATGATCCCTTTTGATATATGAATCATATGATATTTGACATCAAATTAGTTTTTGATGGTATAGTCAGTTCATTTTATTATTTTTTATTTTAAAAAATAAGTTCTTTTCTTTCTCTTGTAATCATATCATGCAAATTACTGCAAGTAGAAATCATTTTTGTTCCATACAGATCCACGTTTTATAAGACATTAGAGGAAACTAATATGAGTATTTATTCTTAATTAAGATTTTTTCATCAAAGAAAACATCATTCCTACACCACTAAAAATTAATCCAAATTAGTCTATTAGTGTTGAGTGCTTCTAGTGTGATGAAAAATATTGTTAGTAACAAATGTAGAAAAACACAAATTTGCAAATATTAGAATTTACAACTTAATTAGTAGTTATTGAAGAAGAGGTTGATGTTATGTAAAATATCTACTAGAAAACCTTAAGTTCTTGACTAAAATATCATCAATGTGAAAGTTTTTATTGGTGAATTGCTACTTTACCGATAAATAATATATTTGTACTAAATAAAATAGTTAAATTAATATTAATGTATATTATTTAAAATTTAAATAATTATTTTATTAATAAATTAGTACTATAAAAATATGAATCTTGTCAATAATATTGAGTCTATATAATTTTACACAACAATAAACAAAGTTGCTCTTATCAACAAAGTCCACCTAAGTTCACCTCAGAAATATGATCATGATACAACATGCATGTGATCGATGATTATGTCTTAATATGTCAACAAAAAACTTGTTGGTAATTTGATTTTCCCATTACCTTCTCACTAGTAGCAAGGTGACAGTATATATATATATATATATATATATTTTTTGTGAAAAAAGGCAATGGGCAAGGTGATGGTACTTGTGAGGCAGCCTTATGATGATTTGCAGCATTTTACTGACAAGTATGTCGTTGGTAGATTTGTTTACTGCCATAATCCTGTAGGAGGTGGTCAGCTTTTTCATTTTACAATCCTTCTTATCTTCTTTGAACCCCTCCTTCCCCTCCCACTTTCATTTTCCTCTTCCAACTGCATTTCCCTTTCCTCTCATTTTCTCCACCAACAAATCATGCGAAATCTAAGTTTTTTCTTTTCACAATTTTAGATCAAGCAGTGATAAGTAAGGTTTGAGAAATATTAAACTTTTTGTTATTTATTTTTGTGTTGAATCTAAACGTTTTTTTGTATATTATATATATATTTTAATAATTTTGACTATCAAACATTATGATTAATTCATTTGATATTAGGATTTGTTATTTTGCAATTGAACTTTCAACATGGACATAGTAAGTGAATTTTGAGATACCAACTTGAACCTTATACGTAAATAAATGGTGGGATTCCAAAATTTTTAAATTTTTTCTACTTCCATTGAAACTGACTTTGTACCTATGTGAATTATGTAGATAAATATAATTTCAACTAGAAACTCATAGGTAAAATACTCTATATATCTCTAAAACTAGTAGCCCACCCATTTTTTCTTTCCTTCCTTCATCTTCTTTCTTCTCTTCCCTTATCTGTCTCTCCTCCTTCCTCTTGCATCCAAATGCTACTGAAATTGTTTTTTTTGTTTATAATTACATTATCTTCATATTTTTTTTAGTTTCTATCTTCTCAATCTCCCCTCTTTTTCTCTTCTATTCTCTGTTCCTAATTGTTTTAATTTTAATTTGAGCAATTGATCAATTTATTTACAATTCTAATTTTTTTTAATGTTGTTTTGTAGGAAACATTAAATTTTATTTATGTAAATTAAAATTTAAGTTTAATTATATTTTGATTATTTTTATTATTTAGTTAAATTTATATGTAAATATTAAATTAATTTATATTTGATCTTTTTTTTAGGAAATACTACTCTATAAATATCAAATTTTAAATTGAGTTAATTTTTATTTTTTTTTATTATGCTATTTAATTATATTTTACATTTTTTATTATTCTTATTTTTTAATTATGTTTTAATAATTAGTTTCAGCAAATAGATTCAATACTTTTTTATTATAAAATTTAAATATTATATTTAACTTTTGTTAATATTAAGAGTTATAAATTAAATAATATTTGATAATAAATAAATTAAATTAAATAAATAAAATTTCAATATTAACTTAAGAACCTGTATTTTTTTAATAGAATAGAAATTATTGTACCAACGTAGTTTTCGTTGGTAATTAACAATGATTTTTTTTATTACCAACTCTAAGTCGATAAAATTGTGGTGTTGTAGCCTTTTTCTTGGTAGTCAAGGAAAAATGCTGATGAAAGATTTGTTGGTAAATTTTTCAGAAATAATATTAAGTATATATGTTACAAATACAAACGTTAGTCTTGTTGGTAAATTTACCGACATGAGTAGCCAGCTGATTATATTTTTCCGGTCAAATAGTTTGAGACATGCTCTTTATCAATAAGTTTGAGTAATTTATTGACGTGAATCACTAGTAAAATTCCAACCTTCAGCAACATGCTCCCATGTTGTTGAAAGTGCTTGCATTGTTGCTGAAAATGCTTGCAATGTAGGTAAAAGCCTTTTAGCAACATAGTTTTCGTTGCTGAAAACTTTGTTGGCAATGCCTTGGTGGCTGATACATTAGTAACAAAGGGTATGTTGCTGATGTATCAGCAACATACCCTTGTTGCTAAAAGAACACTTTCAGCAACATGATTTATGTTAGTAATATTCTTGCCGGATTCTTGTAGCCGATGGTGGAGTTTATTCAACCATTTTCAGCAACAAAAGCCACGTTACTGAAACTATATTTTTAGTAACATGGCTCATGTTGCTGAAAGTTTAGGAGAAATAGTGGTTTTCAAAAGATGGTTTTCCTTTCCTATTTTCAGCAACAAGAGCCACGTTGCTGAAAGTTCAGGAATAGTACATTCTCTAGTTTTCAACAACGTATGTCTTGTTGCTGATATTTATTTACATACTTCCCTGATATTAATTAACTACTTAATAAATTTTAGTTTAATTAATGTAAATTAAATAACATCAATTAATTAATGTCTTATTATATATTTTACCAAACTTGAATTTTATTTTATTAATTTATTTTATTAAGAATTACATACAAAACAAATAAAATAACAAAATTATTAATTACTAAAGATAATTACTTATAAATATATTAACTTCCTAATACATTAATATCTACTTAATAATGTAATATTTACAAAAATATGATTTAAATATACTTAAAGAGATCTGATGGAATTTTTTCAATTACTAATATATATACGTATGGATGACATGTGCTAATTAATAGAGGAAAAAAAAAAGAAGCTGATAGGCGCAGCAGAGGATGTTGCAGCAGGCCGGAGGAATTTCAGCAGGCCAGAGCAATTGCAGCAGGCCAAGGGAATTGCAGCAGGCCACGCGAGGAGAAGGAAGGCATGCGGGAGGAGAAATATTGCAGAATTTATAGAGAAGGGGTTGGGGTATATAAATAACTTTCAGCAACATAACATTTGTTGATGAAAGTTTACTCTCTATTAGCAACCTATACCATGTTGCTAAAACTCATTTGAATTTGAATTCTTTTACTCATTATCGACATGCATTATGTTGCTAAAATTTAAAATAAAAAAAACTCCTGCCACAGTATTAAATGATTAAATTTTAAATGATTAAAATTTTTAACAACATAGCTCTTGTTGCAGAAAGTTACTTTCAGCAACAAGAGACATGTTGTTGAAAATGGAATCCTTATTTGGGGAGAAAAGTGCGGTGGAGGGCTACTGAAAAATATTAGCAACATAGGGTATGTTGCTGATATTTATTTTCAGCAACATACCCATTGTTGCTGAAAGTGGAGTAGCTTTTGGAGGGGAGAAGTATACTGCATAGCTTTCAGCAGCCAAAACTTTGTCGGTGATATAATTTTTCAGCAATAAAGGATTCTATGTTGCTGATATTTGTTGCTAAAAGTTAAAATTTTAGTAGTGAATTTAAGTTACGTACATAAATGAATTATTGAGGAGACTTACAACAATATGCATTTTACCGAAAAACGCTCTTTACCAACATTATTCCCTTGGTTTCTGATGAAATTTTTTGTCAATGATATCATACATTCTAGTAGTATATATAATGATATTCATTAACATTACTTT